TTTCAACTTTAGGTCAACAGGAGGTTCTTGCTGATTCTGAGCCACAATTCCTGGCCCTAGTCGGCTATCAACACCTCTTGGTGATCTCTTATCAACCAGTGGAAGGGAGCCTTCTTAGAGCCCTTAAAATGATCAAGTCCTTCCATCCACATCAAGCTTCTTCCAAGGTTCTTCTTGATTTTATTTTGGAAACCTGTGATTTCCTTACAACCTAGTGTGACGGCATTTTTAGTCTCCTTCTGTGCCTGCACACAGAACTTCAATACTTATACATGGTCCCTTCAGGCCGGGAACCTGCAGCTAACGCACAATTTCCCACAATGTGCAGCAGTAATAGAAAAGGACTGAGAGGGATGTTAATGTCACCATCAAACATTTGACAGCAAAGCAGTCTCTTGTTTGGAAGTCGTCCTAAGTAGCGCTGAAAATGACTGGGTTAAGAACAGTAGAATTACAATCTGTGACCTGGGTCACCGCAGTCTTGGTGCTGCTGTTGCTGCTCCGGTGTCCCTCTGCCAACAGCGGTGGGACTCTCAGCCTGGTTGCTCTGTATCAGCTGCTGCTGCTCCTGGGCTGGACCGAAGCAAAAAGAGAAGAGAGTTAAGCATGGGGGCTGCCTCATTTTTTCCAGTCCTGAGCAATGATGTGGCTGACATTCATTATCCCGTGTACTGAAGCACGATGCTCTGCGAGGACTGCCGCGTCAAGTGCTCCACCCCTATCCGCAGGGCAGTGTGCCGCCGCGTCGGTGTCGGAAGTGCAAGACTCTGGTTCTGTTTGGAAAAAAATAAAATTATTCGAGTTTCCTTTTAGGTGAACCCGGACATGGGGAAGCTGTGTAAACTGGCAGACGTAAACTACCTGCATAATTGAGGCGACTCAAAATCAGCCGTGTTAAAAGCTACAGCCGCTTTATAAGCGGACTGCCACAAAGACTGCTTGTTTAACAACGCAATTTCCAGCTGCTGCCCACTTGGAAGGGAGAACTACAAGTTCTTTACTGAAAGAATACCTGTTTAAGTGATAGTGCCACAGATTTTTAAGAAATACATAGGCTCAAAACATAAGGACTGCAAGTC